TCGTCTATCTGTGAGTCTGTCTGTCTGTCTACTGTCTGTCTGTCAGTCTCTAGCTATCGCTGTGGTGGGGGCGCGTGTGTACACACACATACAAACACACACACACACACACACACACACACACAAACACGCACACACATACACGCAGCAAACATTGAACACACTGGTGGATGTATGGGAAACACACACACACATAAAAACCCCCACACACACACATACACTCACACACATCCAGCAAACATTGTACACAACAGAAGAAGTGATTGGGGGTGGGAGGGTGGGGGGACACACAAACAACAAACACACCCAGCGATTTAGAGCAAAGGTAAGCGTGATATTAATGCAATTATTGTTATCAATCATTATGATTATCTATGCGTGCGTTAATATCGCCATAAGAACGGATATCCAGCGACTGTGGTGTGGCAGTTCAGTGCTTTGCTGTCACACGCAGGAGACCCGAGTTCAATTCCCAACTGGGGAGAATTTTTATCGAGTATAACCTTTCTGCAGGGATGTTAAATCCCTCTCATCCACATTGGCCCTGCCAGGCAGGGCAATTCAGTCACTGAATGATCTATATTGTGTTGATGGGGGCGTAAAAATGCCTACAAGAACGGATGAAAATGTTCTTTAATCAATTTTTCCTTCTACTCTATGATAATGACACAGATAAAAACAGCAGCCAGGGCACTAGGCTTTATCCACCAGAAAAAACAAACAAACAAGATAAAACAACTCCATCTCCAGAGCAACTGACAGACCTTGAGGAAAATCCAACGCAAAACTGCATAATACCACTAGGGTTCCCACTCACCATGAAGAGGTCTCTGCCATGAAGAACATTTCCAGTGAAGTTTCAATTTTTTTGGGTATTTTTTTTTATCCCCCTGTTTAATTTACCTACTTCCTCCTGCTTTAAAAAACATTTTTGTTTTTTTCTTTTCACTCATTTACATGTTTTCCCGATCGGGAAAGCTGACAATGAAATTTCTGGCTTCTTTCCATTTTCCTGATTGAATGGGGAACCTTTGTCTTGAGCAGTTCAGTTGCAAGGATTACAAGTCCTCATTGCTCTATTGCTTATTTCTCTTGCAACCTGTGCAACTATAGCTCTGAAGACCATTTCCTTTTCCGATATAAAAAGAATGACAAGCCATAATTGACATAAGCAATTTTTATCAGAACAAAACACTTACGAAAAAGTCGTCAAAATTGTTTGCCCAGTAGTTCAACTGTTCATAAGTACCACATTCAAATGTCCTGGAGGGAGGGTTGTGAGATATGGGGATGGGGGGTAGGATATGAGAACATCGGATTAGCAATGAATAAACACCATACATCATGATGTTAATGCTAGATTCAGATTCACATTACAAAACTAATGTTAGATCAACATCATGAAGCTAAAGTGCAATTTAGTTACACCAAAATTGGATTTTATACTTTTGTCTAGTAATTGTTTTTTTTAAATGGAAACTTCAAAGGCTGAAACAAGCAGGCACAGTTTGTCTTTTCAAATCTAAAAAACCCCCAAAAAGTTATATCGAAGGACAAGATTAGCTGAGATGAAAAGACAGAATAAACACAATAGGACCAAAAAAAAGTCCCCCCCTACAATTTTAAAAAAAGTAAGAAAATGTTTTGACGCCTAGAGTGACAATCTGACTAATAAGATCACTGTTTACGCCTATGGTACTCATGAAAGAGAAAACACTCTCACAAGCAGTAAGAAAACACAAAAACGTATTCATAGCCAGCCTTTTCCCGACACTCACTTGTTCTCGAAGCTGGGGTCGTACTTGATGACATCATGAAACAGCTCCATCCCGAAGATGGCAAACGCATAAAAGATGACCTGAAACATTTGACAAAGGCGTAAAAGATGACCTGAAACATTTGACAAAGACATAAAAGATGACCTGAAACATTTGACAAAGACATAAAAGATGACCTGAAACATTTCAAGTACAGACACCAATCACAGCCTGCTGCGACACTGAAGCACGTACCGGAACACAAAGTGTAGTATCGGTATGCTAGTGTTAGTATCAGTATGTAAAGTGTAAGTATCGGTTTGAAAAATGTAAGTAGGCCTACTCTTATGCAAAGTGTAAGTACGGGAATGCAAAGCCTTAGTATTGGTGCCCATAGTGTAAACATTGGTACCCATAGTGTAAACATTGGTACCCATAGTGTAAACATTGGTACCCATAGTGTAAACATTGGTGCCCATAGTGTAAACATTGGTACCCATAGTGTAAACATTGGTACCCATAGTGTAAACATTGGTACCCATAGTGTAAACATTGGTGCCCATAGTGTAAACATTGGTGCCCATAGTGTAAACATTGGTACCCATAGTGTAAACATTGGTGCCCATAGTGTAAACATTGGTACCCATAGTGTAAACATTGGTGCCCATAGTGTAAACATTGGTGCCCATAGTGTAAACATTGGTGCCCATAGTGTAAACATTGGTGCCCATAGTGTAAACATTGGTACCCATAGTGTAAACATTGGTACCCATAGTGTAAACATTGGTACCCAGAGTGTAAACATTGGTACCCAGAGTGTAAACATTGGTACCCAGAGTGTAAACATTGGTATGCCAAATGTAGTAAGTACCAGTGCACAAAAAGTAAATATCGGAATGCAAAGTTTGGTACTCTGTACACCAAGGTCTGGCAGCATTGGAAACTTTATGGGTAAAATTCCCACAACATAGGTACAGCAGGGGTCTCCAACTCAAATCACGTGGGAGCTGCTTGAGGTACAGTCTGTGTGACCCTCGGCCACACCATGTATTCCATAAGAAAAGGTTTCAAGCATCTATTAATAATAATAATAATAATAATAATAATAATATATAACATTTATATAGCGCATTTCCAAAAAAGTAGCTCAATGCGCTTTATATTGGAATACCCATTTTTTCAAAACCTTTCTTACTACTTCCTTTCTTCTCATGAAATATATATTAATGCACACACACACACACACACACACACACACACACACACACACACACACACACACACACACACACACACACACACACACACACACACACACACACACCAGACATAGGAACAGAACAACTGTAATGAAAAATAACGTTAAAAGCTTATTAAAAAAGTACAACTGACCTGATCTTCTCAATCTATATTAATATCATGAAAAGCTAATACAAAAAAACAAGTAGGACCTAACTTTGAAAACCACGAGAGAAGGCCACAATTCTAAAAATATCTAAGAAAATAGTTTAGTTGAAGTAAAAGTTTTATGGCACTTGCAACACATTACAGTCATATAAATGCCAAAGATTAGAGGAGTTACAAGTGAGTAACTAACACTAAAAAGAAGGAGGAGATAAGAAAGGTAGATGTTTGATAGGTGTTGTGTATGGGACATAACAAGGTTATCGGCCATCCCTGTTTTAAGGGAGCTACCCCCCCCCCCCTCCGTCACTTTAAGACATGCACAGTAGCGACTAGTGGGGTGAGTAATAAAGTTCAGTTGCTGTCCGAGATTCATGTGGTGAGCAGTTCTTCTTGTGCTCGTGTCAGTTAGTGAAGTGTTCTGGATTAAAGTGAACCCTAAGTAGACTAACAATAAGAAAGAAGGAGTAAACCACACCAGAGCACCCACTAACCACCCATTCACACTAGAAAAACAGCAGACATGGACAGTGACGAAGATTTTCTGTTCCTAAAACAAGACACAGACAATAGAACAGTGCACTCACAATGAGAAACAAGACACGGACAATAGAACAGTGCACTCACAATGAGAAACAAGACACAGACAATAGAACAGTGCACTCACAATGAGAAACAAGACACAGACAACAGAACAGTGCACTCACAATGAGAAACAAGACACAGACAATAGAACAGTGCACTCACAATGAGAAACAAGACACAGACAATAGAACAATGCACTCACAATGAGAACTCCGGCGAAAGATTTCATGTTCTTCATCAGGTCCACCAGAACTGTGGTCACCAGCGACATCGACTGAAACAACAAAACACACACAACTGGAGGTCAACCAAAAGGGATTGCAAGATCAAATTGCTTGTGTTTGAAGAACTCACATGATCAATGGTGTAATGGTGTAGGTGTGTATGTATGTGTGTGTGGTGCGTGCGTGAGTGAATATGTGTTTGCATGAGTATGTAACACTATGTACCTTTAAAATTGATTTGTAAATCCATAATATGTATCATGTTAAGCGCATAGAGCATTGCATAAGTGGATATGTGCTATATAAATGCAATCCATTATTATTATTATTATTAATGCTCTAACCATGTAACTGGGGTTGCTTTTACTTTGTTGGTTTTTTCTTTTTTTGGCTAGTGTTTTACGGCACTCGCAACTTCACAAGGTCAAGTGAGCGTGCAGGACACATTAAGCATTTTCAATCGGTAGGAAATTTTGAATTGGTCCCAGTGGTGGTTGAAGCCTACTTTTAGGACCCCCAAGGGATCTTTCAGGTGCACAACTTGTACACAAGACTTCAGTGTAACTGTTTTTTTTTACATTTTTTCAACAAGCACAAGAAAAAGCCTTCCGATTGTTCGGATGAGAAAAGATAAAAAAGTTTGCTCACAGAATTTTGTACCATGTTTTGTGCCTGCTGACACCTAATTTATACTGAAGACCCACAGATCAACCTCGGAAAATATTTTCGACCAAAGTGGAGTTGACCTATTTCTTCCAGTAACACAGTTAGAACATAACACCACTGAGACGACATGCCATCAGTTACGCCTTCTTTTAACTCTTTATCTTGAAGGGGTAAACCCACTATGTCGAGGCCCTCTTTTGGTACAAAATCTAAAATTGACAAGTACGTCACTAAATGGGTCATTAAATCAAAATATGTGAACCTTTTTTGATAGTTCTCCATCTACTGAATAAACTCTCTGAAAAACTGTCCCCATGGTTGTTATGCACCCCGCATAATTTAGCAAAACGTTATCATTTTTTGCATAATTTCTGATTATTTTCCTTTATCATTCTTTGTTAAAAATTAACAAAATCGCATAATTTCACATTTTTGGGCTCAGTTTGCATAATTTCAGAATTTTTCTTGCATAAAACGATGGGGACAAGTAAAAGAGACCTGTTTTCGGCAACAGCCAAAAAAGTAATTTGCCATCTATGTCGTCGCGTCCTTGTAAAGGAATGTGCCCAAGCCGATGCCAGCAGCTTTCTGAAGTTAAGGAGTTCAGGTGAGGAATACTTGCCTGACTTGATTCGTTCCAAACATCTTTAGAAACAGTTGGTAAATCCCCAACAACAACTAACACATCATTCATAAATAAAGCAAAGTAAAATACATTTAAAAAATTATGATTTTTGTCTTAGACGGTTTTCATTTGTGAACTTTTGACAGTATTGTACTTCCTTATTTACATCCTTTAGAACTGCATAACATTTGAGAAAAAAACCCCCACTCCTTCTTCTACTTCAAATGCCAGAACTGAAATAAACATCGGTGAACAAGGGCCACCACTCATTTCTCTGCACGGATACTCTGAACCAACCTACATTATCCTGGTCCTCCAACTTTACTCATGTGCTCAAGTTCTAAAAGTAACAACAGTGTGAAGAAAAATTCCACACACGTACACACAACAACATTAAAAGACTGACCTTGATGATAGGGATAATATGGAACATTCTCCCTATGATATACCACAACAACTACAATAACAACCCACAATATCAAAACAACAATGACCGAAACAATATGCAAAGACTCACCTTGATGTGAGGAATAATCCGGAACATCCTGCCTTGGATGTACCACACCAACCACAATATCAACCACAATAACAACAAAGACAGTAACAACCTAAAAAGACTGACCTCGATATAAGGAATTATGTAGAACATTCTCCCTATGATGTATCACACCAACCCCAATGACAGTAACAATGTGCAAAGACTGACCTTGATGTGAGGAATAATTCGGAATATTCTGCCTACGATGTATTACAGCAACCAAAATAACAACAACAACATCAAAACAACAACGATAGTAACAATGTGCAAAGACTGACCTTGCTGTAAGGAATAATCCAGAACATTTTCCCTTCGATGTACTACAACAACCACAATAACAAAAACGACGACAGTAGCAATGTGCAAAGACTGACCTTGATGTGAGGAATAATCCGGAACATCCGCACCATGATGAGGATGTTGATGATGCGGATCACGTTCCACAGCTCGCTACTGCTGCTGTGTACTACCACTTCTTTGGATCTGGAGAAAAATTGGCATTGCCATCATTTGTGCTTTACACACCCGTCGATAATTTACGTGGCACTGTGGTGGAATCAGGCCCTCCTCATGATAATGAAATCGAAGAAGCCAAAATTTTTCAACCTGTTGGGTAATTTTTATTATTGACTTTTTAATTTAAAAAAACATTATTTAAAAATGTTTTCTTTTAATTTTAATTTAAAGAATTTTTTAAATTTGGTAGTTGTTTGTTTTTTTTGGGGGGGGGGGGGGTGCTCAACACCTTTTATATCTCTTTAAAAATACAACAGATTTTACAGGAACACGTTGATTAAAGTCACAAAAAATGTGCAGTTTCCATGGACACTCAAGCTTTGGAAGACACCAAACTTTGGCGGCCATTTTCTCAAGGTCACTGCAGACTACACTCAAGATTTAGTTTAGCAGTTTTACACCATTTGCAACACAATAAGGTCATATAAGTGCCAAAGATTAGAAGTGTTACAAGAGAGTAACAAACACAAAAAAAGGAGGAGAGATAAGGACCATACATGTTTGATAGGAAAGAAGGAGCAAACCACACCAGAGCCCCTGTCAACCACCCACTCTCAGGATTTTACTCAGAAACTCAGCAGTAATCTTTGCCACACCAGGCGCCCACAAAGGAAGTATAGTTCATAACAGATGCATTACCCTGGGAAATACGGGAGTCCGTAGCAGCTGGCTGAATAAATCTCACCGATCTGAAAAACGGAAACACCAATGTCAGGAACATGATCAAAAAGTTTGTTATTAAGAGTAGATAAACTTTATTGATATACCTGCTAAAAACTACCCTCAAAAAATGTTTTTTTAAAGTTTTCGTAAGAGTTTTACGGCACTTGCAACACAATAAGGTCCTATAAGTGCCGAAGAAGGTTATTTAAGGGGCGGGACCTCCTAGTTTAACGTCCGTCTCCGATAGGACCGAGCCAAATGGGAAGTTCCTGTAAAGTGCCTTTCCCAAGGACACAATGTCGGACAGAGCTGCGGCTCGAACCCCCGAAACCCGAAATCTCACGATTACGAGTCCGGCAGCCTAACCACTAGGCCACCGACGCCTACAAGACAGTGACATACACAGAACTGAAGGAGGAGAGATAAGGACAATAGTCCTAACCCAAGTGACAAGCATCAGCTGTTACCAGAACAGAAGACACAAAACACATGACACACAACACAAAACACATGACACAAAACACACAACACACAACACAAGACACAAAACACAAGACACAAAACACAAGACACACAACACAAGACACAAGACACAAAATACAAGACACAAAACACACAACACAAAACACAAGACACAAGACACAAAACACAAGACACAAAACACACGACACAAAACACACGACACAAAACACAGGACACAAAACACAAGACACAAAACACAAGACACAAAACACAGGACACAAAACACAGGACACAAAAAACAAGACACAAAACACACAACACAAAACACACAACACAAGACACAAAACACACAACACAAGACACAAAACACACGACACAAAACACACGACACAAGACACAAAACACACAACACAAGACACAAAACACACGACACAAGACACAAAACACACGACACAAAACACACGACACAAGACACAAAACACACGACACAAAACTCACGACACAAAACACACGACACAAATCACAAAGCACCACCACTTACGACCAGAGCCAGGGTGACAAAAGCGTCAAACTTGTTCCCGTTGTCGGACAGATAGCGACGCCAGCCAAACGCCCACACTTTGACGGCCTGCTCCACCAAGTAGTAGATGACAAAGCTGAAGTTCACAATCTGAACCAGAAAAAGAAACACTGATAAAAGCATTCTACCGACAGCGTAGTAAAAACACCAAACCTTCCAATATTTCCAACAGAAAACAAGGGAAAGGCAGATATTCAATCAAGTCGACATTTATCAAAAAATATTTCAATGGATCATCCTTCCTCATTTGACAGCCATTTCCAACAATAAAGGCCGATTTATACTCCCATACAGACCAAGAGGTCTCACATGATTTCTTCATCCATCTGCTTAAAATTCAACAAAAACTGGGAAAATGCTGTAACTCCTTCATTGCCCTTGTGACAAGCATTTTTATTCTTATTTGATGAGAGAGAGCCAAAAACTTCGCCTTGACATATGCCATTCAATACAGTTTTCAATGTGCGTGGGGGGAGGGGGGGGGGATCAAAATGGTGAACATTTTCCTCAAGTTTTGTATAAATACTCTCAGTCCCTGGGAATCTAACACATGGAGGGGAAATGGAGCATTCTTATAGAATCAAACTGACCTTCTGTCTCCAAAGGTAAAAAATTACCATCACTTATGAAACAGTTCAGACATAACTTTTCAACTACCACTAGGTCAAGAACCAACTTCAGCTAAAGTCAAATAAAAACAAAAAACAGCGGACACACAGACAGGACACAAATTGTAACGTACACGTAGCAGGGAGTGACTCTCCCGGAAGGAGCTGTCGTATTTCGCTCCCAGCTGGACCTGAAGAACGGAGGAAAAACCAAACTGAATCATAATATTTCTTAATAATAATAATAATAATAAGAGCATTTGTATCCCGCCTTTCCCCACAACATGGGCCCAAGGCGTACATAGGAGATTAAAAACGCATTCATACTAACACCATACAAATTCATCATGTGCACACTTTTTGACTGCAACATTCTTTCAGACAATAAAAAATGCTCATACAAAAAGGCAAAGGTACTGTCCATTAATTAAAATATTTCTTAAATAGATGTGTTTTGAGTCCCCTTTTGAAGGTATCAAGTTTTATTTCGCTTCTCAAATCATGAGGGAGAGTGTTCCAAACTGTTGGCCCAGAAAAAGAAAAATCTCTCTCACCATATTTCTTCAGTGACACACGAGGTGTTGAAATTAGTCTAGAGCCACTGGATCTTAGTTCTTAGAAGGGAAAAGGCCTGAATATTCACGCTAAATCAGAAAGAGCTCATATTTTGAACAGATAAACTTATCACTCCTATTTTAGAAAATGAGTTCTAAAACAGTTGTCAATGTTCTTATACTGAACCTAAAGTAGCAAACAACAGATCCTTACTTGAAGGGAAAAAGTAACAACGCTTAACATTTCCACCTCTTTTTCAGCAACAAAAATATCGCTCCGATACTTTTCTTTACTTTGATAATAACATATTAAAAAATGATAAGTAGTCTTTACCAATTCTCATGAAAAAAAGCTAACAAATTTATTACATTACAGTATTTTTCTTACCCTTTTTATCTCTTTTTCTCTTCTTCCCCACCCCCTCTCTTTCTTTCTAACCATTTTGTTTTCTTCCGCTTTTTACTTTCAGTCTCTCTCTCTGTCTTTCAATCTCTTTGATTCATGTCTCTCTCTCAGTCTCTTTGATCCATGTCTCTCTCTCAGTCTCTTTGATCCATGTCTCTCTCTCAGTCTCTTTGATCCATGTCTCTCTCTCAGTCTCTTTGATCCATGTCTCTCTCTCAGTCTCTTTGATCCATGTCTCTCTCTTGGACTACCCAAGACACATCCTGCCTCCTCCTCCCCACCGACCCTAGACATAACGAAACCTAACTCCCTACACACACACACGCACGCACACACATGCACACACACACACACACACGCACATACACACACACACACACAAACAAACTCACACACACACACCCACCCCACCCCCACCCACAAACCGTGATTATGATGAGGTTGATGAAGGCCATCAGAATGCCGAAGTAGGTGAAGTATTTGTGGAGGAAAACTCTCTGAACCATTCTCCATCGCGGGCTGGCGCACCACGTGACAGCCGGCTTCTATAAACAGACAAAATAAAAAATTCATAGATCATTGACTCTAGTAAAAACAGACAAAATACATGATCACTGACTCGAGTAAAAACAGACAAAATTCATAGATCATTGACTCTAGTAAAAACAGACAAAATTCATAGATCACCGACTCTAGTAAAAACAGACAAAATTCATAGATCATTGACTCTAGTAAAAACAGACAAAATTCATAGATCATTGACTCTAGTAAAAACAGACAAAATTCATAGATCACTGACTCTAGTAAAAACAGACAAAATTCATAGATCACTGACTCTAGTAAAAACAGACAATATTCATAGATCACTGACTCTAGTAAAAACAGACAAAATACAGGGATCACTGACTCTAGTAAAAACAGACAAAATACACTCTTGTAAAAACAGACAAAATACATGGATCACTGACCTTAGTAAAAACAGACAATATACATGGATCACTGACTCTAGTAAAAACAGACAAAATACACTCTAGTAAAAACAGACACAATACAGGGATCATTGACTCTAGTAAAAACAGACAAAATTCATACATCACTGACCTTAGTAAAAACAGACAAAATACAGGGATCATTGACTCTAGTAAAAACAGACAAAACACATGGATCACTGACTTTAGTAAAAACAGACAAAATACAGGGATCACTGACTCTAGTAAAAACAGACAAAATACATGGATCACTGACTAGTAAAAACAGACAAAACACATGGATCACTGACTCTAGTAAAAACAGACAAAATACATGGATCACTGACTCTAGTAAAAACAGACAAAATACACTCTTGTAAAAACAGACAAAGTACATGGATCGCTGACTCTAGTAAAAACAGACAAAATTCCTAGATCACAGACTCTAGTAATAACACTGGTACATTGCTCAAAAGGTTCCATAAGAAAAAGTTAATCTGACATATATATAGATGATTAACCACAGACTTTCTCCCACTCGCCCCAAAACTTGCCTGAGCTGACAAAATTGAGACTGTCTAAGAAATTACATTAAATTAAAAAAATCTGCATTACATAAAGTTCTAATCAAGAAAAAAGTCTGTATTGCACCAAATCAGAAAATGTGCATCATATAAAGTTCTATCAAAGCAGAAGGTCTGTATCGTATAAACCCCCAAAAATCTGTATTATATAAAGTTAAACAAATCAGAAATTGTACATTATATAAACTTGTATCAAAGCAGAAGGTCTTGTACAGTATAAAATTCTTTTTTTTCCCGCTCACCTGTTTATGGACAACGTCGCTGTCGAGACAGTAGAACAATTTCTGGAACTCTGTAGCCGAAAACACATAGTCCTCTCTCCTCTCCAGATTCTGGGAACATCAAAGAGGAAGAGAAAGAGGTAAACAAGCATGGCATAGATATTTCTCTTCTCCCTCTCTCTCTCTTTCTCACTTTCACTCCTTCCTCCCTTTAACTCTCTTTTTCTTCCTAAGTCCTTCTCTCTCTCATTCATTATTCTCTCTCATTCACTATTCTCTTCCCCTTTTCTCCCTCTTTCTCTTTCTCTCATTCTCTCTCTCTCTCTTTCTCTCTCTTCCTCTCATTCACTATTCTCTATCTCTGTCTCTCTCTCATCTCTTCACACAATAATGGTCATTCAGAGTAAAAAACCCCAACCAAACCCATGATGAAAAGAAGAGAAGTAGGAGCTACCAATGGCACTCTCCCACCGTCCACACAGACAGGCAGGCAGACAGACAGAAACAACAGAGGAGACAGGCAGGCAGACAGACACAACAGAGGGAAAGAAAAGGAAGAAGGAACTGCCAGTGGCACCCTCCAACCACCCAAAAGCATCTCAATGAGATCCGAACTCACCTCAATAAGAACAGACTTGATGTGTTTGGGCAGCAGCGACTTCCCAACGATACTTTTGATCACATGACCTCCAACTCCGACCCTGATGTGTCACAAAAACAAAATACAAATCTACAACGAGAAAATACCTTCTGCAAAGATACAACATCGTTGGTTTTATTTTTTGTTTGTTAGAGTATTTTGAAAAGCCCATGGACACTATAACGGTCATCGCGTGCAGAGAAAAAGCAAAACAGACAGACGGAAGAACAAAAAGACCTACCAGTGGCACCCTCCACCTACCCACCTACACATCTTATAATAATTTTAAAAAACAAACACAGCAAAAAACAAGTACCTTCCCCAATCACATAACTTCCTTTTCGACTGGGCTGGGAATCTATCTCATAACTGCAAAATACTTAAACACTACGAGTCAAAATCATTACTGAACATCAAAGGGAAAGGTTTTGAATACCAGCAGGAAGATAAGAAGGAAATGGGTGGGGCAAGGGTGGGATTGAGGATGAAGACTGGCATAGAAAGATAGACACATGAAGAGACATAGACAGATGCACAAAGAGACAGACATATTATATAGGGGCCTACAGAAAGCTGGATTATGTTGGTTTTGTGTATGTCGGGGGTGGGGGGGGGGGGGGGGGGGGGGGGATAGAGGGGAGAAATAAGACAAGCACAAACATTCTAGTGAGGGTGGCACAAAGACGTACTCAATCGTCCCCTCCGCTGAGTTTTCACTCCCTTGAATGTCGCACTTCTTCCTGCGCAGCACCTCAAAGGCCGCACGCACACCCAGCCTTCTCCTCAGTAGACTGCTCTGCATGGAGCTCTGTGGTAGAGACAGGAGGCGGGAGAAACTCTATACGTATGATTGAATATGACATGTGTCAAGACATATGCTTATCAATTTTTTGGCTTATCACGACCTCAGTGCTTTCTTGTCCTACCTCCATTTTTAATAACAGTGAAAACAGTTCATAACGAAGAGTGAGCTTAAGAAGAAGTCACATTTTCAATGTTAAAAAAAATGTAGATGGGACAAGAAAGCACTGAGGTCGCGATATGGAGGTATAGGTATAAGCTTACAGACTGTCTATTTGCCTTTCTTTTGATGAATAAAAAACTCATCTATCTGGAATAGAAGTAGAGATATCAGCGATGGAAGGAGCTGGGGGGGGGGTCGCCTGATGCCAGAGGTGAAAAAGTCGAGAAAATGGTCTGCAATGTTTTTTCCAGTAAAATCCATATAGTAATGCGTTTTTAAGTGCACATAAATCTATGAAAATTGCCAAACTGGTGGAAAAATGTCAATTTCTTCAATTTCATTATATTGACGAGCGCCTGATTCGATTATGTTGCCTCACTTAATATGTGTATAAATAAATAAATAAATACAGCTGAAACTGTTTAAGACGGCCACCTATTGACGAAGAGTAAAGTAACAGTCTTAGATAGGCGGCCGTCTTACACAGGGTCATTATAACGTAAAAAGTAGGCAAGGGAAGAAATTGGAAGCGGCCATTTTTGCAGGTGATCGTCTTATACAGGTGACCATTAGAGCAGGTTTGACTATATACATATAGGGAATTTTATTTACAATCCCTGAACTGTACAACTGTGATCTACACAAAGAAGTGATCTACACAAACAAGTGATCTACACAAAGAAGAAAAAGTAAAGTGTAACCCAACACTGGTAGAAGCAGCGCTAGGATACGTACCAGGAAATATCCTCGGAACTGGTTGTAGATGACAGCAAGCAGCATGTTCATGAGGCAATACAGTCCTGTGGGAGAACAGAAGATGTCACAGGGCGAGGGTGGGGTGTGTGTGTGTGTGTGTGTGTGTGTGTGTGTGTGTGTATGTGTGTGGGGGGGATGGAGGTTGCAGAGATCACAGAGTGCTGCTCTCGTTTCAATGGAATGTTTCTGTAACAAATCCTTGAAAAACTCTTCAGCTGTTCTAAGCCCAGAAACCACAATTTTTCAGGAGAGAAAAGAAAAACTTCCATTCTTTTTATAAATATGAAAGAAGTTGTACCTACATTATGCATTTTTCCTTGCTTTTTCTTCCTATATCTAGAATTCAATTTGACAAAATATTTATCGGGCACATGCAAGTAATATCACAGTTTATGAAACTACTATAGAGAATTTTTTTCAAAGTTTTGTGCTTAGTTCATCTGAACAGCTGGCAAGCAAAATTTTACGGTAAATGCTTCCACATTAGACATTGTGCGCTCATATGACTCTATGCAGTCGCCAGCGCCGTAAACTAAACATTAGACATTGGCAATGAAAGTCTTGGCACAAGGAGTCTGTCATCAATTTGACCAGGAGGAAACACATTATATGCTGCTGCGAGGGCCTCAGATTCAAAAGGAAACATGACATCAACTTTCTCCTTTTCCACAATCCTTCATTGAATGGGAAAAGATCTAAAAACGCTTAAAGCTAAAGAAAATAATGAAAGTGCTTCTTTATCTGGCAATATCTCACAGAATACTGACCGAAGCCTCAGAAGTTTTACATTCTAAAACTGTGATTGGAAACTTTGCCTACCGGTGTGATATACAAGTAGAGCATGTGTACTTTCCCAATAGGTAGTTATTTTAAATAATTCACAGAAAGCTCTTGATTTTCTCCATGCCTTCTATTTCACGGACAACTTACCAATGAACAGATACAAGATAAAAAACAGCGAAGCATATCTATTCCGGCTGTAAGCAGGCATCGTAACTGAAATGGAAGACAAAACATGAAATGTTAATAGTCATCTCTGTCAGTTTGTCTTTGTAAAGGATGCGTTGTGCATCGCAAAATCCACAAAAGTCAAAGAAGTGAAAAAGACTTTTTCCTCATAGACATCATCAGTTTCACAGAGAAGTGAAAAGTAGATTTGAGTTTGAGCTGAAGTTAACAGCAAATGATATTACAGCGTCTTACTTTAACTTTAAGAAAAGAAAAGTGAACCTCAACAAAATCCTTGCCAAAAATCTTGTGAGCTTTTGGAGAGCCCCCAATGGTACGCCCTACTTCTGTCCCTAGCGCTGTCGCATCTGTCCCACTTTATCCCTGCACTAAATGACAAGTATAAAGTGGATGTGCTTCTATTTACCAGAAGTCAAACTGAATTACTATTATTTTTTCAGTGTTCTTCTCTTTACCCAAACAAAGTAATTGATTTTTATTATGCGGTTGTGCTTCGCTTTACTCAAACAAACTAATTGACAATTATGATGTGGTTGTGTTTCTCTTTACTCAAACAAATTAAATGACCATCATTGTGTCGGTGTGTTTCTTGTCACTCAAACAAGTTAAATGACCATCATTGTGTCGGTGTGTTTCTTGTCACTCAAACAAGTTAAATGACCATCATTGTGTCGGTGTGTTTCTTGTCACTCAAACAAGTTAAATGACCCTCATTGTGTCGCTGTGTTTCTTGTCACTCAAACAAGTTAAATGACCATCATTGTGTCGGTGTGTTTCTTGTCACTCAAACAAGTTAAATGACCATCATTGTGTCGGTGTGTTTCTTGTCACTCAAACAAGTTAAATGACCATCATTGTGTCGGTGTGTTTCTTGTCACTCAAACAAGTTAAATGACCATCATTGTGTCGGTGTGTTTCTTGTCACTCAAACAAGTTAAATGACCATCATTGTGTCGGTGTGTTTCTTGTCACTCAAACAAGTTAAATGACCATCATTGTGTCGGTGTGTTTCTTGTCACTCAAACAAGTTAAATGACCATCATTTTGTCGGTGTGTTTCCCTTTACTCAAACAAGTTAAATGACCATCATTGTGTCGGTGTGCTTCCCTTTACTCAAACATAAGGACCATTATTATGCGACTGTGTCTCTATTTACTCCAAAAAACAAAGTGAGATTTTTTATGTGAATGTGCCCGTCTTTACTCAAACTAAATGACCATTGTTGTGTCGATGAGCTTCTTTTTACTCAAACAAACTAAATGACTTTTATCATATGATTGTGTCTCTCTTTATTCAACCAAACTAAGTGACCATTATTGTGTCAATGTGCTTCTCTTCAACCAAACAAACTAAGTGACCATTATTGCGTCAATGTGCTTCCTTTTACTCAATAAAACTAAAGGACTTTCAATACATGACTGTGCCCCTCTTCACTCATTTATTATTTTATTGAGTAGAGGTTTTATGGCACTCGCAACTGCATAAGGTCATATGAGCGCCAAGCCCTCTTTACTCAAACAAAACAAAACGACTTATTATATAAATGTGCCTCTATTTCCCTAAACAAAATCACTGTTGTTTCGTGGACGTTTGACCCCCTCCCTTCCCTGAACAACTATTACTGTGACGATGTGCACGCTTCTCTTTCCCTCAAACATGAAAAGCCGAGTCCTCCCACTCACCGTCTGGGTTGTTGGCGGTTGTAAGTAGGACGAGAAGACTGACGAGTGAGTCCAGCAGGCTGTGGAAGTACTGGTGACCTTCGCTGGGCTGGAATATACCACACACACACAAACACACAAATATCGTGAGACGTCATATAGGAAACGGTTTTGCTTTCGTAAGAGTTTTACGGCATTTGCTGTTTTTAGTAAGAGTTGTACAATGCTTGCAACTGCATAAGGTCATATGAGTGCGCTCCACACTTGCAACACAATAAGGTCATATAAGTGCCGAAGAATAGATTATGAGTTACAAGACAGTAACATACACAAAAAAGAAGGAAGAGAGATAAGGACGATAGACGTTTGATCGGAAAGATGGAGCAAACCCCACACCAGAGCACCCACCAACCACCCACATGGAAACGGTTTAAAATAATAGTTTTAAAGTGCATACAGCATGCTATATTATTATTATTATTATTATTATGAAAGATTCAATTTTACTCAGTTTTCCAAAAAGGGGTGGGGAGCATTTTCTCACACGGATGTACTCGCATGGGTCTTAGTACTACAGAACAGTGGCAATGTCCATCACAGTGAATATGTGTGTATATACTATACATTTAAGTTGGTGTACTCCATGCATGTAGGATTGTGTACTCAATATATGTAAGAAGGTGTACTCAATAGAGACGGGCGGGTAGCGCTTTTTCCTTCCCGAGCGAGAAGACCGAGAAACTGACCTATTTCTCGCAGAGACCGGTCCCGAGAACGAGAAATACTACCCGTCTCGTGTCTCGGGCAATGCTTCTCGTCTCGTGACCAATTTCTCTTCTCACCCCGCAGTTCGAGCCACTCGTTCAGCGAGAAGGCCGGCCGTGGCCGAGATTTCTCTTCTCGCCCCACAGAACGAGCAGCTCGTTAAGCGAGAAGACCGTCGTGGCGGGGATCTAAACTTAGATTAGAAACTAGGCTAACCCTGTTGCGCAGGCGCAGGCGGTGAAGGAAGGTAGGGAGACCTAGGCCTAGGCCCTGATCAACTCCCCACTCGCCTCGTCTCGCCACCCTCTCCCCTCCCTTTCAGTTTCACACACAGGACGGCACGGTGATGGGTGGCACTGTCTGCGTTGTCATTTCTCGTCTCTCACTCTCGTTACCGTTACTCGTTATGTCAAGCCAACGGGCAGTATCATGTCTCGGTACCGAGCAGAAGTTTAGTGCCCGGGCAGTGACGGGAAGGCCGTTACTCGCGAGAAACGAGACTCGGCTCGTCTCGTGTCTGCCCCTAGTACTCAATATATTTCAGTTGGTGTACTCAATACGTGCAGACTAGTGTACTCAATACATGTAGGTTGGTGTACTCAATACGTGTAGACTAGTGTACTCAATACATGTAGGTTGGTGTACTCAATATATTTCAGTTGGTGTACTCCATATGTAATATATGTGTAGGTTGGTGTACTCAATATATTTCTATTATGTACTCCATACACAACACATGTACGTCAGTATACACAACACATGTACGTCAGTGTACCCAACACATGTAGACGGGTGTACTCACTGTAGGCACAGGCCCGGGTGTGCTCGAGTTTATCAAGTACATCGTTACATTGGACGGGGCAGCCTGGGGATATAAAGACGCGGACACCAAGCTTCACATCAATATTTCAAAATCACGCTTCAAATTAACACTTGAAAGCTAAGCTTCAATAAACATTGGAACATAAAGCTTCAAAAACACACTTGAATATCAAACTTCAAAAAAACATTTTAATATTTAGTTTCAAAACCACACTTGAACATCTAGCATGAAATAAACACTTGAATATCAACCTTTAGATAAACACTTGAATATCATTCTTCCAATATACATTTGAATACTAAGCTTCACGTACACATGTTTAATATCTAGCGTTAAATACACATTTGAGTATTTAGCTTTAAAATAAACCCTTGAATATCATGCTTCAAATTATTTTAATATCAAGCTTCAAATAAACACTTGAATATCATGCTTCAAATTATTTTAATATCAAGCTTCAAATAAACACTTGAATATCAAGCATTAACTAAACTTTCACATGTGCCAACAAATGGAATTAATGTCATATTCCAGTCATAGTTCTGAGTAAATGGGAACGAAATAAGAAGTAAAACACCCAAAACCAACAGATCGAGATTTTCTATGAACAAGAAAGATAATTGTATCAGACAAGACAATGCTCTCGCAGTTCCTTGTGAAAAGAAAGACAACATCACAACTCAAAATGTCAGTCTTCCTCAGTTCTGTTATAGTTTTAATAAGAGTTTTATGGCACTTGCAACACAATAAGGTCATATATGAGCCGAAGATTAGAGGAGTTACAAGATAGTAACAAACACAAAAAAGAATGAGGAAAGACAAGGGCGATACACGTTTGATAGAAAAGAAGGAGCAGACCACACTAAAGTACCCGCCAACCACCCACCCGCTTTCCTCGGTTCATGACTAGACCTACCTCATACTCGGGGAACAACAGCATCCCAAACAACGTAAAGACAAACAGATGCAGGGCAAGCAACAGCAGCACACTGGCAGGGGATCAAAGACAAAGAAAACCAATAATTTAGCATTTCGTGAATTCAGCGTTTTCTCGTCTTATTTCCATTTTTTTAAACATTGAAAATGTGACTTCTTCTTAAGCTCACTCTATGTTACGAACTGTTTTCATTGTTATTAAGAATGGAGGTACGACAAGAAAGTACTGAGGTCGCGATTTGGCGTCTGTTGATACGTTTATCCTTCTCCCTCTGAGACGTACCGTTGACAACACACTCAACGGAATATTACAGCAACTGCAGCAGACCTGCACTTATCACTACATGGCATTGGACAGAAGGGTGAGAGCCCAGCTGTTGCTGGATCGATAAAAACAACAACAACAACAGCAACTGTTGATATGTCAGATCAATTGGTAATTTCTATATGATTGCATTGCCAAATTATTCTTTTTTTTTTTTAGAGTTTCGGTCTGAACAGTATCAGTCTGACACAGATGTAGAACAGGGAAAACTATTACAATAACGATTCACAAAGAGACACTACAAATATGTGGAATATAATCTTTTCACAAAACAATTACGGCCACGCAGTCCATAACATTTTCATAAGTCTGTTCATATATAACAGATAAAAACTACGATGAAACTATAAAAACCTACGATAAAAATCATCTACACATCCTATAAAAATATTATGGAGTCAATTTTTCTCAGTTTTCTCTTCACACCTTTCCAACTAAGCATCTCATCTTTGACGTTTGGCGCTACAAAGACCAGCCACAGGCCAGTACAGCTCTGGTTATTTATAAAAATGCAAAAAATAATTTTTTGCCAGAATTTTACGGCACTTGCAACACAATAAGGTCATATAAGTGCTGAAGATTAGAGGTGTTACAAAAGAGGAACAAACACAAAAAAAGAACGAGGGGAGATAGAGATGATAGTTTTTTTTATAGGAAAGAAGGAGCAAACCACACCAGAGCACCCGCCAACAACCCACTGCAAAAACTGACCAGAAATATAGTATATAAAAGTAAAAGAGACAAGGTACTTACCTTATGACCTCTGGCAGGGTCATCCTCAAACAGTTCACAATTTTCTTCATCAGGGAAGAGTTTTGTAAGATAAAGTAAGGGCGAAGAATTCTCCGGAAGCGAATATACTGAAAACAAAACAAAAAACATTAAACACCTCACCTCAGACGGGCATATAATTTGATGCCATCTTATCCACAGATGCATCGCTTTTCAATTATGAGAGGATACCAAAAATTATATCCTAAAGCCACCCATTCAATTTTTCTCTATCAATTCTTTGTTCCCATTTTACCACACTGAACTCTCCAATGTCAGAAATGCAAAACTGTTATTCCAAGTAAGACGTCACAGGAAAATTTACAATATATAGTTTAGTCCTTTTTTGTTATTTCCTTCCGATTATTTTTTTAATTGAAAAATAATGGGCGCCTAAGTCATGGCTCTAGTATGGGTTCTTTTTTTTTTCACTCTTTAACCATGTCTGGACGGTGGCAGCGTCCGGTAGTCGAGGTCTATAACCATGGCTGGACTGTACCACCGTCCAATGTGAAGTTATTATTGTATTATGGTACAGGCCGAATATAAAAAAGTACGAGCTAACAAGCCTTTAGTTTGACCCGGAAGTCAAAGACAAATGAATTCTACGTCTGTGTAATGCTTTATTGATCAGTTTGACACGAAACAAGCAGTTTTAAAAACGTAACATGTCGGGTCACATTTCCACAAACATGAGAGAATTACGCGGAAACGTGACTTTAAATTGCCTGGTTAAAGAGTTAATTTTCCCAAAATTTCCGCGCACAAAATTTAAAAAAATTAGACACTTGTTGACTGATGCAGATGAGACACTGAACGTGCCAATAAACTAACACAACAGTTACCTCAGTACATCCAAGACTAAAAGAAACAATCCAGTCGATAATCGACACGATGATGATGATAACAGCGCCCATATCCCACTTGTGTCGCACGAAGTAGAAACCTCCCAGAAGATGCATCTGTGGACAAACAAACAAACAAACAAACAAACAGATGTTGATTTTAGTAACAGTTTCACTGCACTTGCAACATACACGATTAGGACATTTAATAAGCACTGAAGATTAGAGGATTTTAAAGTGAGTAACAAACACAATAAAGGAGGAGAGACAAGGACAATAGATTTTTTTATAGGAAAGAAGGAGCAAAGCACACCAGAGCACCCGCCAACCACCCACTCACACAACAAACAGCGAGAGCCTTCTGTTGATATAGCTGACTCAGCACATCTGAACAGTCCATACAACAACGGTCACATTTCACCAGGGAGAGAAGGGGATATAACACAACAACAGGACACACATCCAAATCAACATGGGGGGGGGGGGGATATACGAATATAGCAGAATGAGCAGACACATGATCTCAATACACTGTGTCAATGAAAAGAGACACGATCTAAATACACTGTGTTAATGAGTAGACACAAATGTGTCGATCAGCAGACACATGATCTCAATACACTGTGTTAAAAACAAGACACATGATTTCAATATACTGCACCTATGAGAAGACAAATGATCTCAAAGCACTCACCTTGATGACATTGTCAATGAGCAGAATCAGCAGACACATGATCTCAATACTCACCTTGGTGACAGTGTCAGGGAGCAAGATGAGAAAATGTACGGTCTCAATATACTGTGTCAATATGAAGACAAATGATCTCAGTACAATGTGTCAGTGAGAAGACACTTCATCTCAATATACTATGTCAATGAGAAGACACATATAATCTCAATAAAGTGTGTCAATGACAGGACACATGATCTTGATATACTGCTTCTATGAGAACATATACACAATTTCTATAAGAGTCAATAAGAAGATACATGATCTCAATATACTGAGTTAATGAGAAGACACAAGAGCTCAAAACACTCATCTTGATCACATTGTCAATGAGCAGAATGAGCAGACACATGATCTCGATGTTCTGTGTCAGTGACAGGACACATGATTTTAATACACTCACCCTGATGACATTGTCAATGAGCAGAATGAGCAGACACATGATCTCGATGCTCTGC